TTATACATGCACAAATAGCTACATAACACACTAAAGAAAAGAAAAAAAATAGAAATCGCATCATATGACCCCTTTAAGGCCAGGATTTTTATCAAAAATATGATGTTTGGGGCAGGTTGGACATTGTATGTCTAAGTTAAAACAACTTCCTTTTTCATGGTGTTAATAGCATGCTTTTACACTTATGTTTAGACTTAAGTGTTGATAGCATGTTTTAGCGTTTTCTAGCATGTTTGGCATTTAATGGCATAATTTAATATGTTGCTGGGAGTACATTACAGTGTAAAACATGAAATGTGAAAAAATGCCAGCAGGTGGTGCTATGACTAACTGAATATTGGCATGTAGATGTCTTCAGGCCTGGACTCTTATCAAACATTTGAAGTTTGGGGCAGATTGGACATTGTATGCCTGAGTTACAACAACTTTCTCTTTCATGGTGTTATTACCATGCTTTAGCACAGAGCTAAGTGTTATTTTGTGTGGGTTCTCTAGTTCTCATTTTCTCATTTTGTCTCCCTCCCCTAAATAATTATTAGGGTTTTAAGTAGAGTTATCCTTTCCTGTTTAAGGGTTGCTTCAGTGGGAACATGGGTACTAGTGGTAATAGAGTGAGTTTCGTAGCTATACTCTGTATATCTCTAATGGCTTAGTGTATGGCCAAGAATAAATTCCCTAGCACCCATTGTTACTGTTTGTTAGGGGATGAGGCTGTTATACTGCTGAGGTCTACTGAAGCTGTTGGTCGCTATGAGATGAGGTGACTCCTTCGCTTTGTAGGGTGCCCTCCCTCCTGCATAGCCGGGGCTGCTGAGCAGAATGTGAATAACCCTTAGAAGTGGTGTAGTTGTGTGTAAGTCTGCGTTAATACACTTTCTGTAGGAATGGGTGAGTCAGTAGAGTTGGATGTTGGTGTTGTCTTTCTGACTCACTGTTGCCCCCCTCTAGCAGTGTGGCTGGAGGTGATATTGTCAGTTTAGGTACACACGTGGCAGCATGCTTTCTGGGGTTACTAGGAATGGATGGGTGGGTTGATAAAGCAAGAAATCTGAGTTGACTTTCCACTTTCTCTGTTGCTCCTCTCCAGCACTGTGGCTTGAGTAGATAGTGTAGATGTAGATACACCCATGCAGTATGCTTTGTGCAGGAATGTTGACAGAGTTGCAGTTGGTTTGCGAGAAATGGGATTATGACAGTTTAGAGAAATAGAAAAGCATAGTGTGTGCTTTTTTTTGTCACCCTCTTCAGCATTGGCTCGAGGTGGCTTTGTGGTGTCAGCATGGCTTCTTGGTAGAACCTTCTAAAAGACATTTCAACCATTAGAGGATCAGGGCTTTGGTGACTCACTTTTTCAGTTGTCCCATTCAGCCTTCACCTGGAGCTAGTAGTCGGAGTAGAATGTGTTGGCTTGCTTCCCTAAGGGCAGTGTAGATGTGCTGGGCAGTTATGGTGGTTGTATGCCTACAGGCATCCTATTTTCTGCCCCTCAAATCTATATTTGAGTATCAGTACAGAAGTAGGGTGGTTACTGCAGTTGCATGCCAGGGAGGGTGTCCTGTTGATGCCCTGCTGACACTGAAGGTGTGGCATGTTGGCACCTATACTATTTGCCGTAGTTCCAGCAGATGAGACCTATTGTGGTCTCTTGAGGGATTCCCTGCTGGTCTGCTAGGAAAGTGGCGGTAGAGGATGAGAATGTTGAGTCAGTGACACCCCATTTTCAGGATCCTCTAAAGTGGTCTTGCTTTTTCCTCTTAAGAGGACTAGGTCTAGTCCATCCAGTTCTGAAGACTGTATGCTTGTATATACGCTCCACTAAGTTAGGTTGCTTTTAAAGGGGTCATATGTTTTTTTAAAGATAATTATTTTGTGTATTTGGTGTAATATGTGTTTGCAGTACACAAGCCACGGTTAAGACAGCTGACTCCACTGTGATGTGACCCTGTCTCTCTCTCTCTCTCTCTTTCTCTCTCTTTCTCTCTCTCTCTTTCTCTCTCTCTCTCTCTCGCTCTTTCTCTCTCTCTCTCTCTCTCGCTCTCTCTCTCTCACACACACACACACGATGCGCAAAACTCCACATTTGAACAGTCAATAGCAAATACTTAAACTAATAACAAAGCAGTAGCTGATTCAGAAGCGCCAGATTGTCATATCAAAGTCAGAATTACCTTCTCTCCTAGGTCCACAAAACGGTTGTCCATAAAATGCATTGCTGTTCTGTTGTAAGTAATCTTAAAGATTCCTAAATGCATCTACTTTCGGAAGGCCAAATAAAGTGTTTTTGCTTTCGCCTAGAAACACACAGCGTCTCCCTGACATGGGAGCGTCTTCAACACTAACTGCAGTTACTGAAACCACGCCTTCTTTCTTTGTGTGCACATTTGGGCGGCATTATGCAAATATTTCCACATAGTGAGGTAGATATGTGGGGTGTGTTAGACAAGCCGTTTTAGGGGGGCGTGGCAGAGTCTTAACTTTGATAAAAAATATCTCTTTGGTTTTGAGACTTTAGTCTTTGCTACTTCAGGGATCTTATCTATGCACAATCAGCTTGTAACACTCCAAAGAGAAAGGAAAACTTGAAATCGCATCATATGACCCATGGCACAGTAGCCCGCTCTCTTCCAGTTGGAATGTTATTGGTGGATGTAGCTATAGCTGCAACCTCCCTAATTAGCTCTGCTCCTACATATATTTTGTTACTAGGACCAGGCCATTTAGCAGCTGATCTCAAGACTGGTTGTCCACTGAAGCTAAGCAGGGTTGACCCTGATCATTACATGGACAAAACTAGGGAAAATTTGGTTGCTGCTGGAAGATGTGTTAGTGAGGCCAGCAGGGGGTGCTCACCCTGTGGTCTGTGTGGGTCCTAGTGCCCCAGTATAGTGACGGAGACCACTATACTTTACAAAAGCACAGTCCTTCTGATGAGACGTTAAACCAAGTTCCGGACTCTCTGTTGTCATTAAAAACCCCATGTCACAGAGTAGGGGTGTGTCCTGGCCAAATTCCCTCCACTGGCCCATTTCAATTATAGCCTAATAATCCCCATTTCACTGAATTCAAAATCAATCTCTCTTCTTTCCTGGTGTGTGGTGAGCACACTGGCGCCATTGTACTATGGCTGTCATTGTATCATCCAGGTGGATGCTGCACACTGGTGGTGGATGAGGAGAGATACCCTCATATGTTTGTAAAGTGCCTTTGGTGTACAGTACTACATAGTATAGCGCTATATAAATGCCTCATTCATTCATCCAAAATTGCAATGGTCCCTGGCCAGAAGAACATAAGGGGGACTGTCTCTTGAGGACCTAAGTCTCTCTTGACTCAACTCTGTGTTAAGTTTCACAGCATGGGTGGGCAGGCATTTGGTCTGTATGGCACAGTGGATATTGGCATTACCATAGCATCAACATGACGCAGCATCTTATTTCTCGGTGCCTGAGAAGGGCATTCCAACTACTGTTAATAAATGTAATAATGGTAACACTTTAGAATAGGGAACAATTATTCACTATGACTTTTCCCTCAATACATTCCTAACTTGCTGCTTATTAATAGTTATTAAGGTAGTTGCTAAGTTTAGGCATTGGGTCGGATTAGGGATGTAGAATAAGGTAATGTAGAATAAGGCATTAATATGTGCTTAATTAGTACTAATAAATGGCTAATATTCTAGTAATATGCATGCTAATAAGCAACTAGTTAAGAGACCCTAAAATAAAGTGTTACCACAGTAACTTTAAATTTACTGTGGACAGTAGCCTAATCTACTGTGCAGGTGGAGAATTTGGGTGTGATTTAAAAAAAAAAAAAATTTTATGGTGTGACCATTTCTTTCTAGGACTGATGCAAAGAGGCTTAGTCATGCCTTTATTACATCTAGGCTTGATTACTTTAATTCACTTTTCTGCAGGTCTACTGGCAAAGTTATAAAGTGTGTGTGTGTGTGTGTGTGTGTGTCTGTCTGTCTGTCTGTCTGTCTGTCTGTGTTTTCTAGTGTGGGTCATAGAGGAGAGTTCATGATAACATCAAGGCTATGCAAATGTAAGTCCACAAACAGACACACAGTTTTCTTGTTTGTTGTTTAGTTGTTGTAAATGTGTCTCTTGTAATGTGTGTTCTTGTGTTCAGATGCCCGTGATCTCACACTGGATCCAAACACAGCAAACACTCGCCTCATTCTGTATGAAAAGAAAAGAAAGGTGAAACGTGTGGAAGAGCAGCAGACATATCCCGATCATCCAGAGAGATTTGATGTGCGTCCTCAGGTTATGTGTGTTGAGAGTCTGACTGAGCGCTGTTACTGGGAGGCTGAACGGAGTGGATCTGCTAAAATAGCAGTGACGTATAAAGGAATCAAGAAGAAAGGACTGAGTGATGACTGTTGGTTTGGATATAATGAGAAGTCCTGGAGTCTGTTCTGCTCTGGTAACAGGTTCATTGCCCGTCACAATAATAAGAAAACTGAAATATCTGCTCCTTCAGGCTCCTGTAAGAGAATAGGAGTGTATGTTGATGTGTTGGCTGGCACTCTGTCCTTCTACAGCGTCTCTGACACACTTACACACAAACTCACACACTTACACACATTCACACACACATTCACTGAACCCCTCTATGCTGGATTTACAGTTTATTCAAACTCTTCAGTGTATCTGCGTCGCATTAAAAAACACACGCATACTGCCTTTTTTGCTTTATGAGAACTTTGATGGCCAAACCTCGGTGGACCTACCTTCCTAATGCCTAACAGAGATGATAAAACTCAGAAATTGCTTTGATATGCAGAAGATGAATCTGGCTTAGATTTTTGTTTACACAATCATATTGATAATATTTTCGTGGTAAACAAGCATATTCACTCTCTTTCTGAAGTGTTCCTGCCAATGACATTATTTGATTTTGTAGGGCCTATACCTGCAGAGTGGTGTCCGATGTAACAGATTTAAGATTTATGACCTGTTTTAATTTTATAATCAAAGACCCAACTCTATGCATGTCCTGCTAGACCCCCTTTTCCATTAAAAATATTTTATTGGACTGTCCCGGTTTTGATGCAAGTAGAAAACTTTTTTATGATGTACGCTAACTCAGGGACTGAGTTTTACCAGAAAGGATTTTAGATTTTTTTTTATCATATATTAATTTGAGAAGAAATCTTGTATAATTGCAACTGCTGTATTTTTCGTGTTTGCTTTTTATTTTGTGATTATGTAACTCTTGTATTATTCCAACACAGTTTTGCCATGAAGTTAGCCTTAGATGCTGACATGGCAATAACAATAAACAACTACTTTGTTGTATAATCATGTAGGAAGGTATGTGTGACAAAGTGATGCGGACTGTGAAACTATATGCTGTGGATACTGAAGATGATTTTACATTACAGGACCCCTGTCTAATTTTTCCTGCCAAAAACTGGTGGTTGTTCTATAATCATGTTTGGATGTACATGGCAGAGTGGGACACCATGACTCCTGACATGAGGTTCCAGGTGTTTGAGGATCCCAGTAGAAAGGTTTTGTCTAACTGAATGCATGTTTACATGTATTGACAAAATGTTTAGATGTTGTGACATGTAGGATCAGTACAGTTCTGTAAAGGTGAAGTTGTTTCACCTAGACCAGGCGTTCCCAGCCCCACAAAATGCCTCTTAATTTCAACATTTACTACTACTGAGAGCACACCAGCAATGTCTGATGACAATGCAACACCCCTGGAGTCCCACCCACAAACTTATGACAACAGTTGGATTGGTTGGATAAATTTTGCATTAATATGGGGTATTACAACCTGACCTTCCTTACAACGCAGTATGGTAGTTCTAAAGCAATAGCTGGAGCTGCAGCCTACACCAGGATTGACAAAACGGATGGGTGCATCTGCTCTTCAAAATCATAAAGCAACCATTGTTGTCATTGTGGAACATGCCATCAGAAAAAAAATAAACTGAAAGAACTCTGCGAAGTCGATCATCCAAGCCAGATTAGACATTCATGCTTATATGAAGGTAGAGTGTATTTGACACAAACTTTGAGGAGTTTTGATGAACTTTGTTGAAGAGGATTACTGTAATGTAATCTGGTTAAACCAAAGCTAAACCCTGAGTCAGCATGATTTAAGGATCAATCCACAGAAGATTCAGGATTCAGTGGCCACTATTTTATGTGAACTATGTGACAAAGTTTACATTGTGGAGAAGCATCATGAAGTCAGAGAAAAATTTGTGGTTGATATCTGTGAACATTGTCTAGATACTGTCGACTGCTGGAAAAGCACCAAGTATAACACTATAACAATGTTCATAATAACCAGCAGACATTTAACATAACTTTAATTACAAAATAAACACCAAAGAGAAAGTAAGCGGTAACCTCTCACAAACGACTGCCTCATAAACATAAACAAAAGCACAACTAAAATGTCCCAGGCCTGGTCCTCTCTCGTCCTTCACTGTCATCACTCCTTCTTTTATCTTTCCGAAGCTCCTTCATGGGACTTGAGACCGGTATGTAGCGCAGGTGGAGCTCATTATCATTTACTCCACTTACCTCTCTCCACTCCCACTGATTTAGTTGATTTGTCAGCATATGCCGAGAGTGGGGTATAGGTCTCTATGGGTATGATTACATGGACATCAGTAATCTAATTATTTACCTTATTCTGAATAAGACAATATTATGATTAAGGTGTTTACGCAAGTTGTTTTTAGAATATTCCTTTCATGTTCCCGTTTTACATGTTATAGAACATAAATCAATTAATGGCACACGTCATTATGTCCCCACGTGACGCCATCAGACATTCCCTTCAGAATTTTACGTATCAACATACAGTTTGTCTTCGTTATGGTACCATATACAATTTGGGGTGTTTAATTTTACATTTTTCCAAAGCTTCAAGTGCAGTTAATTCTTTGTCATGCTACACGTGCAAACAGACAATGGCGCTGTTGAAGCCATGCTCTTTTGTTTGCCATCAAATGGTTGACCACTACCGTGTGTGTATCCTTTCGCAAAATGCGTCAAAAAGTCTTACATAACAGAAAAAAAGTGATTAAGGTGTTTACGTGTCTATACTGCACTTCAATAATGTGACTAAAATAGGAATACTCCACATGTATTAATGCAATTTGTGTTTACTTTGATTTATGACTTTAGCCGGATTAAGGTAATTAAAAATGTTTACACGGTAGATTCTTTGAGTATTGTCTTAATCGTGTTAAAATCAGAATATTGTTGTCCATGTAAGCATACTGTATGCATATATACTCTCCTGGCTGCAGGCTGTATGATTATGATGGAGATGTTATTGACAGTTGTTTTATGAGAATGAATTCCAAACAGTAGCATTTTTAGGCACCATGCACCAGGGGGGCCCCCACAGGATGCCATTTCCAATTAGAGGACACCCCATGGACCACTTGCTTAGTGCCCCCAAACCTTTAAACACTCCCCTGATTACAAACAAAAAATAAATAAATCAGTGTTACAGTACATATTTTTACTTCATTACTGTACTTAAGTACAGTAAGTTGTTGGGGTATTTTTATTTTGGGAAACGTATACTTAACTACATTCCAAAGCATAATATTGTAATTTTAACTCCAGTACATTTCTTAAAAACATATTGTTCCTCATTATTTTGAACTGGAGAAATCGTCACTTGCTCTGAGCAGCCATATCAGTGTCCGATTCATTAAAGATGATGATGCGATTTCAATTTTTCCTTTCTCTTTGGAGTGTTACAAGCTCTTGGTGCATAAAGAAGATCTGTAAAATTGCAAAGACTAAAGTCTCAAATCCAAAGAGATAGTCTTTATAAAAGTTAAGAGTCAGCCACACCTACCTAAAATGGCTCATTCTAACACGCCCCCACATGTCTACGTCACTATGTGGGAAGATTTGCATAACGCCGCCCAAATGTTCACACAAAGAAAGAAGGCGTAACTTTTATTCTCGCTGGAGTATTGTTGCCGCTTTCCGCCATGTCCTGAAGACGCTGTGTGCTTCGTTGTGAAAGCGAAACTACTTTGTTTGGTCTTCCAAAAGAGGACGATATCCACTTCTTCATGCCTAGAGCTGATCCCTGCTGGTTGCTGAGGGAATACATCAAATTAGTGCTGTGGATCGCCGGATCGGCTTTCACTGTGGACGAAGCCCGGGGTAATCACATGTGCTTGCCGTTCCTTCGTCGGATCTGCCGGCTGCGCCATTCTCAACCCTGCCGCCTCTGCTCACTCTATCCCAGCCTCAGCTCACGCTAAGCCGGGGCTTCCGCTAGGCCGCTGAAGACAGTATAAGTAATTAGAATCAGTAATTATGTCCCCACTGGATGCAACAAATGCCTCGTTTGTAATGGGTTTGAATGTTTTTGTCTCGTTGCTCCCGGCGGGACACGGCATCACAGTATGGTGAGGGGCGTAACATTTCCGTTTCACGCTTGAGGTATTCGGCCAATCACAACGCACACCTCGCTTTTTCAGACCGATGAGCTTTGTTAAAATTGACGCATTTCAAAAAGGCGGGGCATAGAGGAGAAACAATAATGTACAGTATGTGGAAAATGTGTTTTTTTACTTTAAACCGCATAAACACATTTCATTACACCAAATACACAAAACAATGTTCTTTTTAGCAGCATCATATGACCCCTTTAACAAGCTCGAAATATTAAATATATAATATTTGAATTCTAAATATTACATATTAAATCAATTCATAATTTAAAATTCAGTAATCCATGTTCATCTTCCCGACTTAACTTCCAAAATATTCAGTCTTTTTAAAAATACAATCTACAATGACATCCTTACAGTGCATCCGGAAAGTATTTACAATGCTTGACTTTTTCCCACATTTTATGTTACAGCCTTATTCCAAAATGGATCAAATTAATTATTTTCCTCAAAATTCTACAAACATACCCCATAATGACAATTTTAAAGAAGTTTGTTTGAAATCTTTGCAAATTTATAAAAAATAAATAAAAAATCACAAGTACATAAGTATTCTTGCATCCTGTTTCCACTGATCATCCTTGAGATGTTTCTACAACTTGGAGTCCACCTGCGGTAAATTCATTTGATTGGACATGATATAGAAAGGCACACACCTGTATATGTAAGGTCCCACTGTTAACAGTGCATGTCAGAGCACACACAAAGCCATGAAGTCCATGGAATTGTCTGTAGACCTCCGAGACAGGATTGCTAGAGCGGGCCACCCTGCCGAACTGAAAGATCGGGGGAGAAGGGCCTTAGTCAGGGAGGTGACCAAGAACCCGATGGTCACTCTGACAGAGCTCCAGCATTTCTCTGTGGAGAGATGAGAACCTACCAGAAAAACAACCATCTCTGCAGCACTCCACCAATCAGGCCTGTATGGTAGAGTGGCCAGACAGAAGTCAGTCCTCAGTGAAAGGCACATGATGGCCTGCCTGGAGTTTGCCAAAAGGCACCTGAAGGACTCTCAGATTGAACCCGATTGAACAGTTCTGGAGAGATCTGAACATGGCTGTGCACCAACACTCCCCATCCAACCTGATGGCGCTTGAGAGGTCCTGAAAAGAAGAATAGGAGGAACTGCCCAAAAATAGGTGTGCCGAGCTTGTAGCATCATACTCATAAAGACTTGAGGCTGTAATCGGTGCCAAAGGTGCTTCAACAAAGTATTGAGCAAAGGCTGTGAATACTTATGCACGT